TAAGTGATCGATTTTAAAGAATAAAAAGAGTCACCACTTACCTGGTCCTTAAGAAATCAGAATAATAAGGTTTCAGTGTACTCTTTCCTTCCAACACTTTTTCTCTTTTCTTTCTTCTTCTTCTTCCTGGTGCAGTGGCACTGCTAGCCTAGAATTTTTCTTCTTTTTTTCAACTTTGTTTGTTACTCTGTTTTCCTTTGCCCTGGTTAGCTTTGATTATTTAAATTATATGTTGCTGAGTATTTGTTTCCTCACAGTGATTAAAATATATATTGCTGAATTGTTTTGTTTCTTAACAATGACTAAAATGTCGTTGAATTTTCTCTTAATAGTGATAAAAATATAATGTTGATTGTTTTTCTTAGATCTTATCCGTGATTAAAAAAGGCTGACCCGGCATGAAAAAAGGGGAAAAAAAGTTGGGGAGACCAATAGAACAACAATTGTATGTCTGTTTTGTGACAAGGCAACTAAAGGGGAACCTTTTTTTAGTTTTTAATATGAATTTTTGCTTATATATTTCGTCTCTTTTTGTTTTGGTCTTTTTTCTTTTAAATTGTGCTTCACTTCACTCTTTAAGCTAGTGAAGCGTGAAGCAGGACCTTGTCACTTTTTTCCGCTTTGCGCTCCCCTAAATAGTGGTATTTGGAAGGAGTTCAAAAGAAGTTTTTGGATAATCTTAAATTCTAGAAGCAAAATATTGACTATGGGATATGCACTTTATAGATTGTTTTTAGTTTGGTAGTAGGGAGAACAAAGGATGGTTGATGAAGGCTGAGAGAGGGATCCGCTAAAGTGTTCATTTTAAGCATAGTCTCTTTGATCTTCTCCTTTTCCTTGTTTATTCCCTCTCTTCATCAAGTTCATGACATATGCTTGCTAGACTGATTGTACTTTGCCTTGACAGAGGGTAGAATCTCTCAACATCAGTCGTTATTTAACAACAGAGAATCTCAACTAGAAGCTGGGAGAACGAACTTCTTGCCATCTTTAGCTACTGGAGTGCTGCAAGAAATTGGACGGCGATGCAACTCAAAGGTATGTGCTACATACTTTTTAGCCAAGATGTTATCTCTGTTGATTTTTCTTGGTTGTCATAGTAAGAGCTCCACCAATGTGTCTTGCTTTGTAGGTTGAGTTCAGGCCTGTGGTGAGCACTAGTGAGGAATTGCAATTTTCAGTTGAGGTTAGAAAATTCATTATGGAAGAATGTTTTTCACCTATCCGAAGCTATTGCAGGGGTTGATTAATCGCATTGTTTGTCATATAAATATGAAGAGAAATTTCTGTTAAACAGCACTAGTTTCCACCGATAGTAATAGTGTTCCTCTTTTGATTCTAACGGGATGCTAGGAAGTACTGTGCAAGGTAATGGCTGATGAGATACTTGAAAGTAGTGTGCAAGGTAATGGCTGATGAGATACTTGAAAGTAGTGTGCTAATGACTTTGACATTCATGGATCTGTTTATTCTAGTAGAGTCCATCAAAATTTATTATATATGTGAGACATGTGCTGTGCTGAACTTGTGTGGATCTGTATGTCTTGATATTTGACTCTGAATATTGTTAGGTGCTTATGAACTGTCTGTTAATGTCTATCTTTGAAGATATTCATTTTGATATGAGAGTGTTGCTCCTGTCATTGTTGTTCATATAAAAGTGCATAATTATTTTGGCATCTGAATTTAGACAAACAGAATTCTGATCCTGAATAATCTTTAGGTCTTCTTTATCGGTGAGAGAGTTGGTGTTGGGATGGGTAAGACTAGGAAGGATGCTCAGCAACAGGCAGCTGAGAATGCACTTCGGAACATGGCTGGTAAGATCCTTTTTGAAATGCCCCCTTTTGAATTTCCTGGTTTAACTTGTTTCAAGAATCCTGAGCTAATACTGTGATGGAGATTCATTTTTCTTATAACTACTTCATAAGTGGATTTGCATAATGAGTAAATTCTTAAGCACCAGTGCCCCATGTCAAGTAAATTCTTAAAAACTGTCTCGTGCAGGGTTATCTAAAGATATTGCTTCATTTCTTAAAGCAATGAATTGATTCTCGAAGTAGGGTGTTGTTACTTCATAGGCGAAGTCATGGTCTTTAGAGTAGTTTGTGCTTCAAACAATGGTGCATAAAGTGATTCTAGCTAAAGTCTGTCGCTTCTTCGAATTTTGATGAGCTGGATTAGTAATGGAGTTATTGTATATTGCATGCTGGAGTGAATTTTTCTCATTGCAACTTAACTTTCATTGTACTAAATTCATTGGCTTTTTAATATTTTAGTTTCCAGTAAATTCTGCACTTTACTTCAAATAAGTGTGTGCTTCACTTCTCACTTTTGCTTCAAATTCCATGGACCTCATCGCCTTTTTCGCTTTCAAAAACACTAGCCTTGTGTGTTTTAGCAGAATTATCCTTCATTTCCTTAGTTGCCACTTCTACATGATGTCATTATATCACACTTGTCAATTCTGACATGTTACACCTATATCTGAATTCAATTTCATTTTATGATAAGATCCAGGAGTTGCTTTAATTTCTTTCCCCTTTTAAAGTTACCTTGTCAGGGTACAAGTTCTTTTTTAGAGATTATTTGTAGACTAATATTTGCTTATATGCAGGTGAATACGTCTCATACATTACATCTCACCCTCGAGCAGCGGATAAAGACTTTGATAAGATTTTGGTGGAAAATGAAAATGGGTTCTTGTGGGACACTGTCAATCACGTGGATGAACCTTCAGTGGAGGATAGATTACCTCAAGTAAATGTTTCAGAGGTGGGAGTTAATGGTGATGCTTCCCATGACCGATCACTTAATTCTTTGAAAACATGACTGGTGTTTGGTTTAGGGGGGTGGAGGGTGTGCACTGAAGCAAATCTCGGAGATGATGGGTTGAGATTATTTGGGTTTTTACCCCTCCTTGCTTGAGTTGTGTTGTATCAGAGTCAGGAGCAAAACAGAAAATTCTGGCCCACTTGTTCATCTGGCTATGTAGGCCATTCTTGATGCTTCTTATTTTGGAGGTATAATGGTGGTTTTAGGTTGTAATTCCACCCCTCGTCTTTCCCATGACAATTTTGTTCTCAAGTAACTTGTGCCCGAGTGCTTTGTGCTCCTTTTCTCTTTTGGATGGTCTACTCGTAAGTGGAATGCTATATCTTCCAGCAGCTTCTTGTCTCTGTTGTGGACGAGTAGTGTTTGACCATTTCCTATTCTTCCTCAGATGCACCTTGCCTCTGGCTCTCATTGCTGAGGTAGCATGTACTTGTGGTGCAATGAGTCAATGGGGGATGAGTAGCCAGGCAATCTTAGGGCCATTGTATATGATGTTTATCATAAGCTAAGCTCCCCAATTCCCTAATCTTAGTTTCTGCACTGAGCTAGTTCTGGAATGAAGACATCATGTTCTTCGTTTGGTAAATACTCATCTCGTTGTTGTATAGAAGACTGTTAACTGTCCAATCCGAATAATGTCCAGACAAGGAGGGCCTGAGTCATTCATTATCTATTCGGATGTCCTGCAGCAGTAACAATTTGGTAGCGGGAACAGTCTTCACAATTATCAAATTTCGTGATTTTCTCTGATATGTTTGGAGAAAATGAATTTTGTCTTCCATTGGAAAAGTGATTCATACATTTTTTATACAAGGGGGCCCTCGTTTCTGCCATACTTTGTAACTTGCAGTTTATTTTTATACGAAGGCTTTTTATTGCCTTTAATAGCAAATTTCTGATTTTTTACTCAGAGATAAAACTCTATGTTTATCTAAAACCTTATCCAAACAAACCCCTTTTATTGATAACCCTGTTAAAGACTCCATAACTAAAGTTTGAAGCTTTTTTTCTCAATTGGGAGTTCAAGTTTGATAACCCTGTTAGAGAAGTATTAAAAGCATCCATGGGGTAAATTATTAGTTTTGTCATTAACTATTAACAACTTTAAAAACATTTATCTACTTGATTAACTAAACTTAGATACACATCCAATTTGCCACATGTCATAACAAGTGGTATCAAATTCTTGTAGGAGTATAAGGCTATTAATAAAAAAGTCGAGAGAAGTGTTGAAAACATTTCTAAAGTTGGCGAGAATTTGAGAGTGTATTTCCTCATAAAGATCAGGATGTATTTAGGTTCAATTAGTCATGTAAATTGGTATTTTTAAGGCTATCACTAATTCATGGATGAAATTAATAAATCACATTGAGTTTAGCAGTACTTTCAATATTTCTCTCAATTTTTCTTTTGTATCTCTAAACTATTGAGTCAATTTCTAATTTTGTGTTCAAGAAATTCAAAAGATATTTAATAAATATTATATAATGATTACTGGTTAATGTGTGGGTGGGAGGTAGTTATTATTATTGTTAATTTATTTGATCAATAAATCTTTGTAAAATTATGTGTATTAGAAAGTTTGTAATAACATGTAATCGCAATTGTTTATTTATAAAGTAATATAGAGATAAATGATTTATTAATTCGGTGCTTTAAGATATTTCAACAACCTGTTTATAAACTAAAATTTGCTCATCATTTGATAAAATTGTATAAGAGTAGAAAATATTTAATAACTTTCACAAATTACAAGATTTTCATGTTTATAAAAAAAATACAATTTTAAAAATAAAAAATACATGTTCAAATAAAATTCCAACTTCAAACCATAAATTTCAAATTATAATTTAAAATCATATCCAAATAGGTCCAAAAATAATTCTCTTTTTCATTTTTTATTCGATTTTCTGAGGGTGTAGAAATAGGAATATTAGGACACACCTTGATTACATCCAAAATAAAACAGCGGAGGAGAATATTATGAACTCAATTTTCCATATTGTTTTTGTATCAATTGCTTATTGCCGTTTTAAATAATTTCCGCCTAATTAAACAAAATTAAACCATAATCAGATTTATTTGCTATTTTCCACCAAAATAAAACAGCACAATTCAGCTCCGGTGACTTGTCAACTGAATCTTCTTTCTTTGCTCAGTCCAACCTTTCGCCGGCATATCTATTTTCCAAATCTCCGATCAATGGAAGACGACGGCGGAAGACGTACCATTCTTGGGCAAGGTGGTGATCGTGTAAAGCTCAACGTCGGCGGTAAGCTCTTTGAAACCACAGTATCAACACTTCGTTCCGGTGGACCAGATTCTCTTTTATCCGTCTTATCGAATCGGAATTCCGACGACCCGGTTTTCATCGACCGGGACCCAGAAATCTTCTCGGCTCTTTTAGCTCTTCTCCGGTCTAATCGTCTCCCTTCAACAGCAAAACGTTTCTCCAATCAAGAGCTTATCGATGAAGCTGTTTATTACGGAATTGAATCACAACTCAGATCTGCACTCGCCCCGAGTCAACTCAGTGGAATCGACGCGTCACTTTTCTCAACCATTCGTCCTTCCTCTGATGGCGTTGTAACGGACTTCAATGCTGTAGACTCTGATGGTTCCGTTTGGCTTGCTCACGGCGGGCAGGTTTCCGTTTATGATTGGAGTTTGACACATACCGAAACTATTAGGACACACCTTGATTACATCAGCTCCATTAGGAAGGTTGGACCCGATTTGGCTGGTGTTGCTTCTGAATTCGAATCCGGGCTCCATTTTTATAACTTGGCTAATGGACGTAGAGTTGGCTCTGTGGAATGGACCGACCCGTCTGACCCGAGAATCTACAAGGCCCAAGTACACGCTGTTGTTGACTCGCCGGACTCTGTTTTTGCTGCCTTCGAGTGTCAACATAGAGAAAATTGTGTTCTGAGTATTGATAAGTCTACGATGAAAGCGATTTCGGAGTTGGGAAGACAATCTGGTAATTCGGCAAAGTCAACTGTTGTTGGAAAGTTGACATTTTTACCGGAGATTAATGCGCTAGTCGGTGTTTCAGTTACTGCCGGAGCTTTTGGGTATGCCGGTTACGTGCGGTTGTGGGACTCCAGGTCCGGAGACGTTGTGTGGGAGACGAATGAGCCGGGTTCAGGTCGGAGCAGTCGGTTCGGGGACTCGTTTGCTGATGTTGACTTTGACAGGGGGGATTTGACTATGTTCAAGATATGTTCAAAATCAGGTGATTTGGCTGTGGCAGACCTACGTAAATTAAGTGAAGATCCATGGGTTTATCTGGAAGAGAAAAATCCATGCATGAGGCATGCAGGTGGTGGAACTAGTAGCTTGATTCACTGTTATAGACAGCAGGTGTTTGTGGGAAGAGGAGGAGGGTTGGAAGTGTGGTCGAGAATGGTCGAGAAGGGAAGTGACGTTGAGAGGGAAAGGGTGTTGCATGAAGGATTGTATAGGAGGAATTATATGGATAAAGTGGAGGATGCCGGAAGAGGGATCATAAAGAAGATTGAGGGAGCTGGAGATAGACTGTTTGTTACTAGAGAAGATGCTGAGGGGATTGAAGTGTGGCAAAGTTCTCAGTTTTCCGGTGCTGTTTTAAATTTGTGATCGTGTGGAGCTGTGAGCTTTGTATGAGCTTACATTGCCTGTTTCATGTCCTAACAGAGAAGAGGGTTGCAATCAATTGATGATTAGAGTAAAACTACAAGCCGACCGAGCTAGTTTGAGATTGAGCATATTTGTTGTAGTATCTTTTTGAGCTGTCTGCTGCGGTTTGCAATGGTCATCAATGGGAAGTTGGTCGACGGTCAGAGTAAAGTTAGAATCCACCCCGAACTAGTTTGAGATTGAGCATAGTTGTTGTTGTATATATTTTAGCTGTCCAACTACAGCTTGCAATGGTCATCAATGAAATGAATTGTGTATTTGGTGATTTCTTTTGGATGTCAAGTTGATCAATCAAGGAACAATGTGCAAAGGTTGATATGACCATGACGAATACCTGAAATCAGATTCTTGTTGATCCATTATGGACACGATGTTGATCAATCAAGAACATTGTAGACAGGTGTTATGCCATCATGTAATGAAATGAAATTGGTTTATTGGTGAATTTGGGCATCCCTGTTATCAAGAAAGAATGGCATCCAAGCGTGCTTAATTATTTGTATCAGAGGTAGGCCTCTAACTGGTGCTTTTGATGCTCTATTTGTATTCATGACTTTGGTTGCTAGATTGCTGTATCATTTGGTTAGCTACATGTACACGTGAGGTTATAACTTTTTACCTTAGTATCATGCGTAATTCCACGTTGACAAGACTTATACCATATTCCTTAGAAAGCTAGGTGGCAAAGGAGATTTGTAAGTATTGTATTCTTTGTTTCAGCTGCTAGTGATGGTGAGTCATTTCAACAGAAAGTAACTCTTTTAGTTTACATGTCACTTTTACCCCAAATTAGAAGTAATCCCTGTTCTTTTTATTGGTACTTGTCAAATTCTCTAGCAGGCGTTTTTTCTATTTTAATTCTTTCTTGATCTCCCCAAGTAATAAAGTGAAAAGCATGTTTAACACTTGTTTCTTGCCATCTGCTGTAATTTATGTGCTGGAGGCACATTCTTGGGGTTATGTGGTTGTTTTACTAGTCTAGTAGGCAAGCAAAGTGATGGCTTGAAGAATATCAGAAACAACTCTCCAGTAATCATATTTTCCTGTTGGGGAATCTTAGTAGTGCAGTTGGTTGGCTACTTGAACTCCCACCTTGTTGGTGAGGGTTCGATTCCCCACATTGTGACCTTCTTCCCATTTCCCCTTCCCCTACCCCCAATTTTTGAATAAATAAATTTTTAAAAAAATCATATTTTCCTGTTTAAAGAAGCTATAACTGAACATTGAAATTTTAATAGGCAAGAAACAAGTGTTGCTGTAATTTTGAAATCAGCAACTAAGCTTATCTCAAAAGATTGAAATCCCTAGACTACTGGAGAGAGCAAGCAGTAGGAGGAAAAGAATAAAGAGAATAGACGGAGAAAGACTGAAGAAAGGGAATTGTTTTTTGCTGGTTTAGGAATACCTTTCTTTGTATAGAAGCTGCTTTAGTGATGGCATTGTAGAGAAGCTATAATCTCCCTCTCATAGTTGTTGAAGGGTCAGAGGAGACATGAATGAGCTCAGAATTGATGCTAAAGGATCATATGATACCTGAAAGCAGTAAATGAAAGTGTAGGTTCTTTATCTGTTTGCAGTCAATGCTCATGAGACCAAAGTGCTTTTCTTTGTTTATTTGTGAAAAATCTTTCCAATCTGTTAAGCCCTCACATCATCTGAAGGTTGTTGTGCTTGGCGATTACAAAGTGTTTGATGCACATACCAAAACTGTGGAAATTCTCTTTTGTGAAGGAAGCATTTCGAGTAATCTTTTCTGCTCTAGTCATGAAGGAGTAGGAACAAGGATTTCACTGAAAGAACAGGAACATAACTGTTGCAAGTTTACTCATTTGTAGCAGCTTATTCGAGAACCTCTCAAATAGACAAAAGTTGTTATGATGCACTTACAAATTAAAAAAAAAAAAAAAAAAAGGCAGCCCGGTGCACAAAGCATCCCGCGGGCCACATCCCAAAGGGTGTGATGTAGACAGCCTACCCTAATGATCCACTTGCAAATGCATTAAGAAGTTATTTATAATCCTATTACTGTCAGGCCTTTTCTTTTAAAAACTGTAAGGCCATTATTTATAAGCTATAGCAGTAGTTATAAGTTTTCCCTCCTATGCATCAATTGCACCTTCTTGTCTTATTTGTGAGTTGCGACATACCTCCAGTATATATATATACTTCCATAACTCCACAATTTATGGTCCTTTTTGAAGTGCTCCTATGTACTCCAATCTTGTCGTCAATCCCATCACAAAAGGGGGCGCATAAGTGTGGAACAAAACAGTGACTTTGGATGTTGTTGGAGTTGGAGATGGAGCTAGAGTTCTTCCCTCGGAATGCTTTGTTTAAGTTGTGATTTAAGCTTAAATTCATTTTTTAGACCATTTTGTGCTCAGTGGGAGCCACCCTTGGCCAGGGGATGTCGATTGACGTCTCTTCACTGGTTAATTATACTGTGTGGATAGGTAACTTTTTTGTATGTATGTATACTATTTGTTGAATCCCCCACAATTGGCCAAGGGATGCCGATTGACACTTCTTCACTGGAAATTATACCGTGTAGATAGGTAATTTTTTTTTATGTATACATACTATTCGTTAAAGCCCCTTCGCTTCTTCATATGTTTACTTCTTTATATTTTGACCCCCCTATGAAAATCCTGGCTCCGCCATTGTTTATGCCACATCTAATAGCTGTTAATGAGGATTAATTGTCTATGCTGGTGCTCAGCTTATTTTAGGAACTACAAGCTTAATATATTGCTGCTTTACGAAAAGAAGAATTTCATCAACCTGGACATTCCATATCACTTTCATGAAAACATACTTCACTTAAACCTGATATGGTTTCTAGAGTCTACTGTAGAATATTGAACCCTTTCAAGCTGCTGATACTGTCACTGTGCAGGTTCAAGGACTAAGGCCTTTTCAATTAGTTCTTGTTAGAGTCGAAGAAGAAAAGAAGTTGCTCACTGATGGAGTTGAATGATCCCAAGCCAGTAATATTCTTGAAGGTCACATTGCATACCAAGCAGAACAGCTGGGCTGCAAGCTTGGAGATCTGTAGGGTTTGGTGACCTCATTATTTTTTGTCGTGCTAGTACATTTACCTCAGGTCCTATGTTTTCTAGGAATCCTTTAGTGAGAGAAAATAGTGAGAATTTAGTACTTGTATTTTTGGTCAATATTGGTCCAAGATGAGCTTAAATGGAGCAACATGGTCCGTGAGGATTTACATCGCTGACCCCAACTTGCTTGGCCTTGAGGCGTTGTTGTAAATTGGTTTGTGAAAATTTCCATCGGAGGCTGAGATGCGTTCTATTTCCAAATGCTAAATGAAACAAAGCACGTCGGTCAACTAGCATAAACACTTATAGTAATGCTCCATTGGCCATCCTTGTTGTTTCATTTCTTGTTATATGTTAGTTATGTAGGACAACTTTTCTTGATATTTATTAATCTGCTAGCATTGTGTGTGTGGTGATGGGTTATTGCCTCTCTTCAAAGCGTGTTGTAGATCGATTGATTAACTCCATTTTCTTACAGAGCTAACTATTGTAAGTTGTTATATGTAAGTGAATTTTTCTCATAGCAACTTAACTTTTATTGTACTAAATTCATTGATTTTTTTAATATTTTAGTTTCCAGTAATTTCTGCGCTTTACTTCAAAAAAGTGTGTGCTTCACTTGTCAAATTCCAAGGACCTCATCGCCTTTTTCGCTTTCAAAAACACTAGACTAGCCTTGTGTGTTTTAGCAGAATTATCCTTCATTATCACTTGTACATGATGTCATTATATCATTCTGACATGCTACACCTATATCTGAATTCTAAGATCCAGGACTTGCAGAATTTAAATGTGTAATTAATAAGATGTTTCTTTCGATAGTCGGAAAAAGGCCAAGGGAACAGCGTAGGCGTTACGTTGGGTGGGGGCAGAATTCCCAGTGGTTATAATAACAAGAAAACATTGGGAGTTGTGAACACATATCTTATTTACCTATACGACTGTAATTGTGTGTGGGGGTCAGAACATATACCATTTCCATTTTAATTTGTTCTTTTTAGTTTGTTTTTTAAAAAAATAATCTCTTTTGTTTGTTAACTTTAAGATCATAAGATCCAAATGTCTTTTTTTTCTTTCTTAAACTTCATTCTGTCCAATCTCTTGAAACTCTTTTCTATCTAATGAATGGGAAGTTCGATTTTAACTTCCGAGTATATGCTTTAACAAGAATTATATGAGAGTAGATTAGAATAGTAGTAATATGTATTGGAACAAAATATAGTATACATAGCCTAAGATCAAACGAGGACCATCATTCATTATTAGTTGATATACACTACTTTTGTTTTTCCTTCTCTATGAGCTAGTTTTCAGCCTTCAAGCTCTACTTTAAAGAAACCCAAACCTGCAAAGAACTTCAACAATGTCTTTTTACTCCTTTGCATATCACTTACAAACACATTCTCTTCCACTGCCTTTCCATTAGACCAATCTCCTCCTCCTTCAACCAATTCAGACTTTTCTGTATCTTCATGCCCTTTTGTGACTTCTTGCTTCACATTAATCTTCACCTTTTCTGGAGGATGTGTTATATCCGTCGCTACCTCTTCCTAGACATTTAAAAGTGACAACATATCAGAATTGACAAATAAAGAAAATTGCAATACAACAGTAAATGAACTATGTAATGCCTTTGAGAAGTACCAAAGTAAAGTCTCGACATTTTAGGTAAAAGGCCTTTGAGTAGTTAAGATATGCCAGATTCCACCAAGTATACAAATGGAACCTAAAGCATACATGTCCTCCGATTATATCTTCTAAATCGGACTAATGACGTATGCAATACTAGATGTTACATCGTTGGTTCTCATTCTTCAGGGAATACGAGTGCAATAAGAGCATATGTCGACAAAAGGATCACCCTAAGATGATTATCTCATGGACATAATGGGGTTACACGTTTTAGTTTGTGCGTCTAACTTTCTTGTGTTCTAAGAACATCCATTGTTACAATGTGATTAAGAGATTGTGCTATTCTCAGTTTTTCTTGAGAAAGAATTTAGAGAATGGAAATATTTGTTCAGTCTTGGTAATTCAAGCACAAATGTATCTATATCATTGTAAGAGGGCTTATTTATTATGAAGACAAACTGAGAGGAACTACATTTGCTAAAGACACTTCTTCCTCCATATACATATCATTGCTAACCGATATGTAAGGGGTCATCGCCACTTGCCAAGCTCATAAAGAAAGAAACTTTTAAGAGGTGTTAAGCAGTTACCTCTGTCACATTGAACTCCTCCGATTTCCATCCAACTGACCCCTCAGCAACAACTTTTTCCATGTGAACTTCATTCAACTCTTCACTATTTGATCCAAGTGAGCTCTCAACAACAACTTTGTCCATGTGAACTTCATTCAACTCTTCACTATTTGATCCAAGTGAGCTCTCAACAACAACTTTGTCCGTGTGAACCACTGAGGTCAAAACTTGTGTTAAGCCAGGAACCAAGACGGGAACTCTTTCGTCCGCCACTAAGATGGACTCATTTTTTGAGCTTAACACTCCATCAATAGAGGCAACCATATTCTTGCCAATAGCTTTTGCTTCCATTGTGGTGTCCTCATTTCGACCAGTGTTCACATCCTCATTTACTTCAGTGATATTTTCCGCGACTATAGCTAGAACTTCAGTAGTTTTTTCCTCATTTACATCATCTTCTATGTCTACAGCTGACGGTGGAACCAGATTCTCAGCTATTAAAATTTCTGGACTAACTGCAGATTGTTCTGCACCAGGTTCCTCTTCTACAATTGTCTGCAGCTCAGCATTGTCCCAATCTTCAGAAACTGTTATCGTTTTCTTCGTTTCCCATGTTTGAATAATTCGATCAGGGCCTTGTTGCCACAAGATAGTCTCATCATCTACTGTCATAATGAACTTGTAGCTGATAGTTTTTCCACTTGGGATATCCTAAAGAAGTCCATAAAATTAGAACATCCTTAAGTTAATTAAAACATCAATTAACAACATGTTCTTACCAACTCGACGTTCCATACATGTCCCTCTGACCATTCAAGTGGCACTGCATTTGATGGATCCCATAAACCGAGCATTGGATCATCGCCCACTAAGTAGAAATGCTGACCAAAGGAGCATTCCTTATTCAATTGAAATTTTACGCGAACTGGTTCGGAAGGATCTAGAAAGACAACAACAGTATACTGTTGATTTAGTCTTTTGGACAGGATTAAGGTACAACAAAAATAGATCCTAGATCCAAGACAATGTCACAGTAAGATTGACTTACTTGTATCAGTTGTTTCTGTTTCTTCACTCTGAATATGTATCTGAATGAGTTAAAAGTTAAATATCAATTATATTGGTTAGTTTTGCTAAAGAAACATAAATTTTCATCCAGTTAGTGCAGATACCATTTATATAAATGCACCAAAGATTCAACTTTATATCCTAATATTAGTATATTATCTACATTAGCAGAACAAGAAAACACATGAGTCCTTTTGGGACTACAGTATCATGTTTTGGTAAAGAATCATCACAAACAAAAGCATCAAACTTTCAACATCTACTCCCTTCTCCTTTTTAGTAAATCCAAAAAGAAAATTATCCTTCTATAATTAGATAAAATTACTTCAAAATTCCTTTTTAGCTTTAATCAAATGATTTATAGCCACGTAAATGTGTAAGATTTGTTTCAGATAACACATTTCAAAAGTATTCCTATTTTTCTCATTCTTTCTTAAACTATATGCCTAATCACATAAATTGAAACATGCGAGTTATATCTTATTCTCAGCTACAACTAACTCAAATTTGAATAGAAAGGAACAAATAAATTAAAGGTAAACTGCAAAGATATCAACAAGACTCAATTTTTTTTTTGCCAAAAACTTTTTAGCACATTAATCAACCCTTAAATGAAATTGAAACTAAATACTAAGTAGTTGTTCAATAAAGAAAAATAAAACAAACCTGAGAATCAGAAGCACAAAAAATAGGGTGAATAGTTTTGTGCTGAACAGAACATGAGGTAATATGAACAATCTTGAAACTTGACAATCCAAGAAAGCAAATTTCTGATTTTTTACTCAAAGATAAAACTTTGTGTTTATCTAAAACCTTATCCAAACAAACCCCTTTTATTGATAGCCCTGTTAAAGACTCCATAACTAAAGTTTGAAGCTTTTTTTCTCAGTTGGGGGTTCAAGAAAAACAGAAAATAAAAATGATGATTATGTGTGTAACTGTGGGAAGAGAGACTGGTGGCTATTAGGGAGTGGATGTGGGGTTAATTTAAATACTTTATATTTTCCTTTATTTGTCTCAATTTCCGTAGCACATTTGAAATTATTTAAATTTAGACATATAGGTGGCTATTTATATTTTAAACTAAATAAGAAATACTATTTCATTTGTTTCGATTAATATGATAGACCTTTCTTTTTAATCAGTTTAAAAAAATAACACATTTAAATATATACTCCTAATAATTAATAACTTTAAATATTTTTAAAAAAATATTAAAAAAAACTTTGTTGGCTTTGTGTCACATTAATTGATATCGAGAGAGAAAAAGAACGGTAAGTGTGGGGTCCAGTGGGAGAAATGGCCACGGATCAAGTACCAGGTGACTTCATTGCCCACTAATTGAATCTTTAACGTTAATTGGAATCTCAAGTGAGTAGTGATAATAGTAAAATCAAGGATGGGATGTGCTACGATATGATAAATCGAATGTTTTTTTTTTAATCAGATATTTAGTTCGAGCTTTGAATTTGTTTTTTTTTTTTATAGGGCGCTACTCCAGAATAAGACTCTATTAGCATGAATTCAGATTTGTCAGATTGAATATCGAACTTCAAATAAAGAAAAAGTAAATAATAATAAAAATGTTTTTTTTAAAAAAAAAAATTTCTTGTTCTTGGGAGTGCAAATTAAATAATTAAAGGTAACGCACAGCATACGTTCTTACCACTAATTTATTTTATTTTATTTCTAAATAAAAAGGGGCCCTAACTTTTGCTCCTCCACATATTTGATATTACTTGTGATGTATTGTATTTGGGTCACATTATGGACCTACAAGTGGACCTGTTTTTGGATATATCATTTTAATTTATTTATTTTTAATTAAATTTCTTGAGTTGAATTCGTGGATAATGGAATATAAAAAAGTTGATATTTAACACGAATTCAGAATCTAAAATTCATGAGTTTAATTCTAGAATATATATCTACTATACATATAATAGTCGAACAATATATATTGTAACTTCCTCTTAAATATATTTATCATAAAAAGGTGTAACGGTAAACTTGAATTTTGGGAAAGAAAGAGAAGATAGTGTTAAGCGGATTAAAACAAGTATAAAATGAATATTGTGCACACTTTTGAAAGTCACAAAAGAAATCAAAGACATATATTTTCCCAAAAAGGAATAAAAGAATTAAAAAAAACAAAGATCTTTATTTTTCTTATATTTTCCTAATAATTCCTTTGAAAATGCCAAAGAGAGACCCTAAATTAAATCAATTATTTTTGAAATCCTTTAAACTGAATGTTAAATACAAGTTTCATTCAATTATGCATTAACTACAATATTTTTTTTTCTCAATCACTTGAATTGCCTAAAATAAATAGAAAAGATTAATCATCAACAACATACCCCGTGAAATACCATAAAATAGGGTCTACGAAGAGTAAATTTTATGCAGACCTTATTATTACCTCGTAGAAGTAGATATATTGTTTCTAAATAAATTTAATATATGTTAAAATATCCTTGCTGTTTCTCTTATTGTAATGTAATGGCATGCTTGCACTAAATAATTCTTAGGCACCCTACATACTTTCATGGAAAAATTACTTTTAATAAATAATTATTATATTTGGTAATATTTTTTTGTTTATTATCGTTTATAGCAATATATAGTAATACTATGACAAATTTACAAGTATAAGAGATCTTCATTTTTAGACGTAAGTATTTCGGAAAGACCTTTTTTTCTGTTCAATATATAAGTGTCCAAGAAACCTCATTTTCTGTTAGATTACTTTGTCAGATTCCTTAGTCCTTTATGAAATAATATACAAAATATTTACTTTTAGGCAGCCAAACAATATCAATTAGTTCACTTAGCTTATTGTTCAAATTTCAACACGTTAAAACTTTCAAAATGCTTCTTCACCAATTTTGTTTTCATGCAAAAGACCATTATTCATTCATATATTAGGCCTAATTGTTTTTAGTTCTTTCACAATGAAAATTTATCCATAACTTTCTATGATACACTAAGAATAAGTGTTATTTTTAATGTTAAAGATGTTTAATTACTATACAAAGTTTCAACTTTTCTCTTTTTTCTATTTTGCTTTGATCATTTCCCTTATAATCCTCTATGATTCTCTCATAGCTAATATTTCATCCAAATCAATTGTCTTTCAAATCAATATCAATTCCTTGCAACCATTGAAACCACCTTTAGCTAATCGACCGTTGTTTTCGACGAAGGAAGAGACTAATAATGAAGTTTATTTGAAGGAAGAAGAAGAAGATTATGCACATTTGGTGCCTCCTTATAATCTCTCACAAGAAGAAAGAATTTCTTGGTTCAAGAAAAACTTGCCATATTTTGAGATATTAAAGTCCACAAATATCTCAAGAAAATTCAATGGTAGAATGAATGAATTTTTTACAAGTCATTATTGTAGTGTCCAATTCTTCATGACATGGATTTCCCCTACAAAATCATTTGGTAAAAGAGAATTTTTTACCTTAGAGAGTCTATTCAAAGCACATCCTAAAGGGTGCTTGATAATTTTGTCACATACTTTAGACTCACCAAGTGGAACTATGATATTTAAATCTTTAGTTGAGTTGGGCTATAGAATTCTTCTTGTCACTCCTGATTTGTATTTTTTGTTTGAAAATACTCCATCTAAATCTTGGTTTATTGATCTCAAGAATGGGAAAAAGGACCCTGGTAAAATTCCATTGGCACAAAATTTGTCTAATTTGATTAGACTAGCCGTGTTGTACAAGTATGGCGGTGTTTATCTAGACACGGATTTCATTATCTTGAAGGATTTTTCAAGATTGAGGAACTCAATTGGTGCACAAAGTGTGGATAGAAATGGGAAATGGACAAGATTGAATAATGCAGTATTGATTTTTGATAAAAGTCATCCACTTGTTTACAAATTCATGGAGGAATTTGCTTTGAGTTTTGATGGAAATAGATGGGGATATAATGGACCATACTTGGTTTCAAGAGTGGTAGAGAAGGTAAAAGATTACAACTTTAGTGTCTTGCCACCAAGAGCTTTTTATCCAATGAATTGGGTTAGAATTAAAGGATTTTTTAATGCTAAAAATGATTCAAGATGGATAGAGGCTAAAGTGCTTGAGCAAAATGAGAAGACTTATGGTATTCACTTGTGGAATAGACAAAGTAAAAGTATGAAAATTGAACAAGGAAGCATCATAGATAGATTGATATCTACTCATTGTGTGGTATGTAATGACATTTAATTAAGTTGTTAAACACTTGATTTCCAAGATAAGTTAATATTGAGGGAATGAATGTACCTAGCTAATTTAACTTTTTAATACTCAAAACAAGTTCTTGATTTTGGTTGAACAAGGTCAAACTACAACAAGCCTTTGATGTTTTTCTCTCACTTTCTTTGTTTTCTTCTTTCTTGTCAAATTTAGAGATTGGTTTTTTCGTTACTTCACTTTCTTTCGTAAAGATCAAAGGCAGATGTCATGATTAAACATGTTCAATTGAATCCAATAGTTTTTACGAGAAACATGAATGATGGATATATAAATAAAAAATTTACTAAGCTTTCAATAACTATTACAAATTTGAGTATATAATTTCAAAAGTACAATGAGTTAATTTATTGGTAATATAACATAAAGGATGGATGAACAATCAAATTTGTGTCTAGTAAAAATTGTTTATCATCTATATCTCTATCTATACAAAAATAAAATTGTCAACATTTAACACGACCACAAAAAAGAAACCTCAATCTTCTTAATCTAAATCCACCCCATCTCCATAAATTAAATCTAAACCTAGGCAACTTTCTAAATGACTTTTTTCTTTTCAATTTATGCTTACCAAATCTTTGCTTTTTCTTGATGTCAACAAAATCTTGTTTTGTGAAACTCCCTTTTGCATCTTTTTGTTGTTGATGATGATTTTGTATGGAACTCCAAGGATCATGATCATGATCAGAGTCACTACCCCACAAAAGATGTGGTTTAATAATAGGTGATCCACTATAATCTTGAAAATGTGATGATAAACTAGTATGTTCCATGTCAAATAATCTCCTTAATGATGTGCTTCCTTCTTTCATCAAATTTAATAAATTACTTTTCTTGGAGAATGAATTAGATGAATTACTTGAACTTGGAGTAGAGGAAGTAGAAATTGATGATAAAGAAGTACTAGTTGAAGAAGTTGAAGAAGAAAATATTAGAGATTTTTGGTACTCAATGATTCTTTTAATGTTATATCTTTGAGCTTCTTTATCCATTTTCCATAAAGAATCTACATCTTCTTCTTCAGTAATTTCAATAATTTCAGATGACATGATGTCTTTGTATTACAAGATAGGAATTTGGTGGCTAAAACATATAAATTTGACTTGAATATATCTATAGAAAAAAAATTGAAGTGTGGTTTTTTTAGTTGAGGAAGTAGAATAATAAGGGAAAAGGGAGGAACCAAAAAAAAGTTAAGAACATTTCAAAGTTATAAAATGATTCAAAGCCGGCAGTTGGGGCAAATTTGTAGATCAAATTGTTTTTATTTTATTTTTTGAGGAATTTTAATCAATTTGGGAAGTAGTTAATGACAAGATTCATTGACTTAATCAATGTTTGTTAATTAATTAGTTGATTATATTTGTCCTTTATAATGTTTTTTTTTATATGGGTGTACATGTCCTCATCCTAATACTTGTTTAAATCATCATGATGAAGACGTGCATAAGAGATCATGATAGGTAAGGAGTTAGATGGTTATTTTTTAATATTCTCCATCGTTACATAATGTCATATATTCATAATTTGAATGATAAACCTACAAAAAGAAAAGTAGGGTACGGGGTATAGCTACTATAAAAAAGTAAGGTGAAGAATAAAATAGAATTATTGAATAATAAGATAACATGAGAAAAAAATATTAAGGTGACAACATGATCACACCAAATCGATTGTTACATAAAATAAGTCTTTTCATCGTTACCTAATGATTGATTCTTCTGATATATTATTCACTAAAAATAATTCATATTTTGTGAAAGCTCAAATTTAAAATTTGAGCTTCAAAACTCTTCAATGATAAATTTTAATGGACATCAACTCAAATCTTTTTCTAAATAGCTCAAACTAATTTTCTCCACTTAAACAAGGTTGGAAAATTTGCAAAAAATTACAAGTTATGTACCAATTAGGCCAAGTCCGAGTATATAATAGAGAATTGGCTTAAAATCGATAAACTAGATGACCGAAGAGTATTGGGCCATATTTTTCATAAAGGCCTTCAATAAACAGAACCAGCCTACATGGCCCCATATAGAGGCCCAATATAGTTACTTTTGCTAGCCCAAATATTAGGGTGAAAAACTTAAATGTACAATTTAAGCACCTAAATAACCCTTATATAACAGTAATTTAACTTTTCACCTATATAGCAATAGTTTTTTTACAAAAACAAAATAAATAAATAAAAAATAAGAAATAAATTGGTATAAATAATACAACAATACACGTTCCTATATTAAATAAGATTTCATTCCTTATTTTTCTCTTATTTTGTTATTTACCTTCCACAAATCTCTCAATAATTAATCCCTCAATATTTTTATTTCCTTATTTTCCTCCCCTTTTCTAATCTTCCTCTTAAAATACTAAGCAAACTGATTCTCTTTTTCTCTCCACCCTTTTTTTTTTCTAAACTCTCTTCACTCGTCGCTTTCTCCTTTTTTTTTTCTTTTTATATACCTCATTTTATTTTCTGAAAAATTTCTTTGTTTTTCTTTAGTTCTCTCCCTTCAATTTTTTTGTTTAAATCTTTTTTTACACCAATGTAGTTGGAACATATAACCAATAATAAATTTATCATCAATGTATGGATTTATATATTTTAATTTATTTGGTTATAATTTGGTATAATTCATTCATTATGGTAAAATTAAATTAGATTTATTTGCATTTGACACCAAAGTTAAATCATATTGTACACCATGTAAATTAATTTAATGATACTAAAAAAATGATATATACTTGATTAGATTATGGTATTACGTATTATAGGGTTGTAACATAACTAAAATCAACTTTAGCATCAATATCTTTTATAGTTCTAAACCAACATATCACCAAAAAATTAGTCATATCTTACATCAAAGTATATATATACTATAACATATTGCAACTTTAAATCAACAAATTACCATTATTTTTTAACCAACAAATCCACCAATTATTTTTAATTGTTATAGTTATTAAAATTTGAACTTGACACAAAGGTTACACCACATTGTACACCATGTAAATTAATTTGATTAATTTGATGATTCTAAAAAGTTGATATATACTTGATTAGATTATAGTGTTATGCATTGCAGGTTTGGAACATATAACTAAAATCAACATTACCATCAATTAAAATCAATTTCTTTTATTGTTCTATATCGATATATCGCCAAAAAATTAATCACACCATCCATTAAATTGAAATCAACAAATTATCAATATTTTAACTATACCATCCATCAAAATATATACACTAAAATATATTACGGTTAATAACCAACAAATCACCAATTATTGTACCGGATCAACTACCAAAGTATATTCCTTTACATATCACTACTTAAAATAACAGATCATCAACAATTGTACTAAATCGACCACCATCCATCAAATTGAAATCAACAAATTATCAATATTTTAACTATACCATCCATCAAAATATATACACAAAAACATATTACGGTTAATAACCAACAAATCACCAATTATTATATCGGATCAGCTACCAAAGTATATTCCTTAACACATATCACTATTTAAAATAACATATCATCAATAATTGTACCAAATCGACCACCGAAGTGTACACAAAAAAATGTGTTTAAAAATTTTTCCGATAATTTATGGACCACATGATACAAATCATATTAACTATGATAATGCGGATCTTCTTCAAATTAACAGTTGTAATTTTTTATTTTGAAACAAACAATCGGGATCTTGACATCGATATAAGCCTCATCAAACGAGGACTCTTTCCGGGAGCATTATCAAAAGCAACTTTCTTACTCACAATCGATTTATTCAAAGAGTAAAAAAAAATTGTGTTGTAAGAGATGATTTTTAAAAGAAACAAAGAGAAATATTTTCAAGAAGGAGTTTCAAAACTTTTTCTTGAAAAAAATGTGTGCAGCAATGCGTCTACCAAGGCCCAAGGGCAAAAAAAGTACATCAATGATAATTCTTCCGTGTAAGGTTAACATGAAAGAGAGAGTAAGATATTTATTAACAAAACGTATCCAAATATAATTGTGATTGAGATTCTAAAAATTAATTAAAATAAAAGATAAAATATGACTCCCAAAAATTTAGTCCACTAACCAATAAAATAGGACATAAAATCATGTAAATTTTTAATTTATAATAAAATGTCATATTTGTAATTAAAATGTTAATGTTGTAAATAAAAAAACTAAAATAATATTAGGTAAATTAATGTCTTAAATAGTATATTCTTGTAATTTTTCCATATAATATTTTGTCTTTTTGGGCCTTACTAAACCCATAAGAACCCCCTTCAATTCTTAAACTTTCAGTAGAGCCCAAGACCTTTTCTCTATGGGCCTATTTGATGGATGTCAAGTTTGACACCAATTGGTCACTCTACTTTGATGAAATGAATTTTTACTGTTTCAATTTACGTGATATATGTTTTAGTGACTTGACATCTTAACGTTGTCACTTTGGCACGAGCTATTATGCTACAAATTGAAAAAAAATTAATGGGGTGTCCAATTTTCATTTTACTAATTAAGTTATATGATGTTTTTTAATTAAAAATTATTTAACTTGTAATTAATAGTGATAAACTTCTGAAAAAGTGTAGCTCCTCCTCCTCCTCTACTAGTTAAAGGCAAATTCAGGATTTTTGGATTTTATGTTTCTACAATAATCTCAAATTAATGTACAATTAACCTCCTCCTCTACTAGTTAAAAGCAAATTCAGGATTTTTGGATTTTATGTTCTTACAATAATCTCAAATTAATGTAAAATTAATTGGACAAATGGAATGGATTCTGAGCTAGATATTAGTATAAATTTATTAATTTTTTAATACAAATACATGATCTAAGAAAACAAAATACTAATTTGGTGAACCCCTAACGATTGCACTAGACCTGCCCTTTCTATTAGTGTGTCTAAAGTTATTGTCAAGCCAACTTCCAACAAAAATGTCTGAAATTTGAGATTG